TCCCCCACTTTCCCATCCACTAGTCTGCCCCATACTCCACCCATTTACCCATGTCCCATACTCCACCGCTAGCCATGCCCCACATTCCATCCACTAGTCATGCCCCATACTCCACCCACTAGCCATGTCCCATACTCCACCCACTAGCCATGCCCCATATTCCACCCACTAGTCATGCCCATATTTCCACCCATAGCCATGCCCATATTCCACCCACTAGCCATGCCCCATACTCCACCCACTAGCCATGCCCATACTCCACCCACCAGCCATGCCCCATACTCCACCCGCTAGCCATCCCCCATACCCCACCCACTAGCCATGCCCCATATTCCACCCACTAGCCATGCCCCATACTCCACCCCTAGCCATCCCCCATACCCCCACCCATAGCCATGCCCATACTCCATCGCTAGCCATGCCCCATACTCCACCCACTAGCCATCCCCCATACTCCACCCACTAGCCATGCCCCATATTCCACCACTAGCCTTTGCCCCATACTCCCCACTAGCCATGCCCCATACTCCACCCACTAGCCATGCCCCATACTCCACTCGTTTGCCATGCCCATACTCCACCCACTAGCCATGCCCCATACTCCATCTACTAGCCATGCCCCATACTCCACCCGCTAGCCATGCCCCATACTCCACCCGCTAGCCATGCCCCATACTCCACCCGCTAGCCATGCCCCATACTCCACCCACTAGCCATGCCCCATACTCCATCTACTAGCCATGCCCCATACTCCACCCGCTAGCCATGCCCCATACTCCACCCACTAGACATGCTCCATACTCCATCTACTAGCCATGCCCCATACTCCACCCACTAGCCATGCTCCATACTCCATCTACTAGCCATGCCCCATACTCGTACCAAGAGTGATAAACGCAACGTTCACATTTGAACGTTGTGTGTTCTTCCTTGGTCACCTCCTTGCTAGAGGTATCGCCGCCAATTCTTGTAATATGCTTTTCAACCCACACACCCTACTTGGTAGGGCTCTTCTTTGCTCCTAAAACTGTCTGAATTCTTGGCATGGATTCAACAAGATGATGGAAATATTCCTTGGAGATTCTGGTCTATGTTGATAGCATCACGCAGTTGCTGCAGATTTGTCGGTTGCACGTTCATGCTGCGAATCTCCCGTTCTCCCGCATCCCAAAGGTTTATGTCAAATTCTGACTCTACCATCTGCTTGTCGCGGCAGAAATCGTGATTCGTCATACTAGGCGATGTTTTTCCAATATTCAAATGTCCAGTTTTGGTAAGTCTGTGCCCACGGTAGACTCAGTTTCATGTTCTTAAATGACAGAAGTGAAACCCGGTGTTATCTGCTGTTTTATCCCATCCACTTCAAGGTTCAATCTATTATGCGTTCAGAGATACTTTTGTGGTTAATTGAGTTACTGTCGCCTTCTTGTCAGTCTGAACCAGTCTAGCCATTCTCTCCTAACCATTCTCACTAACAAGGTGTTTTCTGCCACAGAACTGCCGCTCAGTAGATGTTTTGTGCTTTTCCCACTATTCTCTGTAAACTCTAGATATAATGTTGTGCGTGAAAATCCCAGATTAGGAGTTTCTAATATTTTCAACAATTATTTCATGGTCACAGTCATTTAAATCACATTTCTTCTCCATTCTGATGTTTGGTTTGAACAACAACTGAACCTCCTGACCATGTCTGCATGCTTTAAGGCACTGAGGTGCTGCCATGTGATTGCCAGATAAGATATTTGCATTATCGAGCAGGTGTACATGTGTACCTAATAAAATGGCCACTGCATTTTTATATATATTATATATTATTATATATATATATTTTTATATATATATATTATATGCAAGGAATTCGCGAGAGCATGCGAAAAAATACACAAACATGATCTCTGGCTGAAGGAGACTCGAACCTACGAACCTTAGGACAAGGTACGCAGTGGGTTTTCCAATCTACCCACACTGGACCAATACCTTGGCGTGTAGCATGAGCTACACGTTTGATCCAAGGCAGCCAGCTTTCAGGGAGAAGGCTTACAGCTTTTCATTCATCCCCTGCATGCATCAGCCTTACTGAGATTTGAACAATGCAAGGAATTCGCGAGAGCATGCGAAATATACACAAACACTGATCTCTGGCCGAAGGAGACTCGAAACCTACGAACCTTAGGAAAAGGTATATATATAGTATATATATTATTTTTATATATATATATATATATAAAATATATATATATATATATTATATTTTATATATTTTTATTATATATATATAATATATATATAAAATATATTTTATATATATATATATATAATTATTATATTATATATACTATAATATACCTTATATATACCTATATATATATTATATATATATATATATATATTTTATATATATATATTTAATAGTATATATATATATAAAATATATAATTATATATTATAGTATATATATATAGTGTATATATATATATATATATATATATATATATTTTATATATAGTATATATATAATAGTGTATATATATATATATATATATATATTATATATGTAGTATAATATATATATAGTATATTATTATATACAAAATAAAAACACATCGGCCTTTTCCCACCGAGGCAGGGGTCCCCCAAAAAAGAAGCATTTCTTTCATCATCACTCACTCCACTATTTTGCCAGAGGCGTGCCGATACTACAGTTCAAAAACTGCACCATGCTTCCACCTCTCCTTCAGAGCGCAGCCACTGTACTTCCCACCTCCTGGACTCAAGTCCGCCCCTTTTCCCCCTGCACACACACACACACACACACACACACACACACCCCACACACACACCCCACACACACACACACACACCACACACACACAACACACACACACAGGTGTGTTGCTTCTCTTTTAATATAATAACATAAAGAATAAACAGTTAAATATGTGGTTGAGATATAGTGAAGAGCATAAATGAAGAGACAACTACGAAGACTACATAAGAGATTATACAGCAAAAGTGAGACTTCCTTAACATAGTACAATGGGGATAAGGAAATAAATGATGTGACACCTCTAAGAGATGATGGAATGCCTAAGAAAGAAGTGCAGGGAGGTCCCATAAAGACTGATAATAATAATGAGAACTTCCGTGGATGTGCAGGGAGGTTCCAGAGAAAGACTGATAATAATGAGAACTTCGTGGATTATCCAGTGGTACAAGGAGGCCAGAACTATGAAGAAGCAAAATATAACTGAAAATGTAGAAAAGATGGAATGCACGTGATAGAAATATGCAGGAGGGCGAGGAACGATTATGCAAACTGTACTGTTTGCCTGAACTGTACGCCTTGCATCACAGGAAAGAAAGATGCTTCATAATTTACACCTGGAAAATTCCGGAGGGACTAGTCTCAAACCTGCACACTAAAATCACTGCATATAAATGCAAGAAGTTTGGTAAGTGGTGTAAAATACCTCCAGTGAAAAGTAGGAGCGCAATAAGTATATTAAGACAGAACTCAAGTGTATGGAGACAAAGGCCTTCAATACGTTCCTTCGTGCTATCTTTAAGAGGAAACTTTGCACGTTCCTGAAGTAAGTCCTTCATCGACCGAACTGAGGTGCATACATTGGACTGTATGCGGCTAGCACCAAAACCTAGTCAATAAAGCCAATAAGGAGAGGCCTGGTTTAAGACTGAGCCACAGGTGCGGTAACTCCCTCCCCCTTCCCCAGGAAGCGATTACAGGTAACCTGTAGGTAACAGGAGGGAAGGAAAGCAAAGTGGCAGTAATTTAAAACAAAACCGAAGCTACTCTACAGCCACGTATAAGCAAACACACACAGACATAGACAGACAGACTTACACTCACTCATACACTCTCACACACACACATCCAAACACACATACACACACACACACGGGGCTGCCAGCCTCAACAGACTCCCAGAAGAGACGGGTAAACCTTTGAATAATTCACCAACTCCGCCTGTTCCCCTTGATAAACAAATTGGTCTGCCTGTTTCACACTACAGTAGGTAGGGCAGGGCAGAGTCGCCATATTTACCCACCAGCACACACACACACACACACACACACACACACACACACACACACACACACACACACACACACACACACACACACACACACACTTTACATGATTAACCGGTAAACAGAACGCTTCACTTATATGATGACCAGTGTAGAAATTTACAACGATGAAATTAATACACATGTGCAACATCCGGGTATCTTTATTGTAGACGTTTCGCCACCCAGTGGCTTTATCAATACAAATTCTAGGATATAATATATACAGAAGATGAGGTAATCAGTCCTTGGCTGAGGGACTGATTACCTCATCTTGTCGGTATTGTATACCATTCTTGTACAAATTTACGAGACTAGTCCCATAGATAATGGGAATGAACTGTGAGGAAAGCCTAAAAGAGAGGAATCTCAAGACATCAGCTGATTCAAGTACCAGAGGAGGCATGATAAGGAAGTACAAAATACTTAGAAGTCTATATAGTATGCATAGGGCAAGACTGCCAGAGAGGCAAGAATATAGTAAGTAGCTGAATGGACAGATGGGCCACTGAAAATGTCAGTAAATATTTCTTCAATCTTAGGTGGTCAGGAAGCGGAATAACCTGGATGAATAAGCTGTGAAGGAAGATTCTATGCACAGTTTTAGAAATAGGTTTGATAGGGTCTACGAGGCTGTGGAGATTTTATTCCGGTGATGATCAGTAAAAGGCTGGGCTAGGAGCCCTGTAGTAATAATAATTTATTTCAACTGCGTGGGCCTACATTAGCATGGCATTATGAGATAAAATTGAAGTCATTTGTATTATTGATAAACATTTCCATTTTTTACATATATATTTTACTCTCTCGCTATTCTGCTAAAATTTCCCGTCGCCTTCCAGGTTTATCTACTCGAGTTTAGTTGAATCGTGCATCATGTACTACAACATGTACCTGTCTCTCTTCCCCAGGGCCGACAGAGTGATGCAAGCACTCGTCTTCAAAACAGTTCCTGGTTTGTTTCAAACAGAGATGAGAAGACGAATCGAATTTTATCAAGGTCACCCGCACGCTGGTAAGTGTTTTCTACATTGATTTATACTGGGGGGAGGGGGGTAAAGAGTCTCTCCCACTCACTCGTGACCGTGGAGTACACTCTGCTATACTATTGTAAGACTAATTTCAGCTATGTACACTTTGGTAGAGTACGGTTAGTCGTTCTCAGCCTCCATATCAAACGTGTCCTCTCCTATCTATAATTTTACTCATTTCAATGCAGTTATCTTATGTTATGGTTAACTTTTTTGTGTGTACTCTTATAGATGTTAGATGTAATAATACCAACTTGGCGTCTTTCCATCTTATATGCACTACAGTTGACCTACTGGCTCCCGTTAGTAGTAGTAGTAGTAGTAGTAGTGGTGGTGGTAGTAGTAGTAGTAGTATTAGTGGTAGTAGTAGTAGTAGTAGTAGTAGTAGTAGTAGTAGTAGTAGTAGTGGTGGTGGTAGTGGTAGTAGTAGTAGTAGTAATAATAATAGTAGTAGTAGTAGAATTGTCCTAACCTAGACTCCTTGGTCCCTTGACAACAATAAGTCACTTATTCTACTAATAGCACGGACCAGTAGGCCTACTGCAGTGTTTTAAAATATTTTAGTTCCTGCACTTTACTATGTTATTTTTATGTACCTCCTGTGTCCTGCTGTTGTTTGTATTAGCTTCACAACGCTCCTGGAGAGCGAAACATCTTAATAAATGTCTCGTTAGTTGATCTTGTGTCCTCAGTAACATGGTTTCTTCTTAACTAAACCACTGATGGTAGACGAGGAGATACTGACCACACATTTTGTGACCTACGTGTGCCTGGCTAACATTTTTCAACTCGTCCTCCTAAATTCTAAGTTGATTTCCAACATTCAGCAAATTTATCAATTTTATAGCTGGAAAAGAAAACAGGGAGCCACTGAACTCGCTGTTCAATACATAGTCACAAATCTGACTGTCTTAAGCCACAATGTCACAGTCACACATCTGACTCAGTAAAATATAGACTTATATTCGGAGGATGGACTACATTGTAGGCCTTACAGAAGAACAAAGTACCTAGTCTGTATTGATGCGTGCTTCTCTCCTACACTAACAAATAAAGCACACTAGCTATCGTCACCTTCCTTGGATCTAACCTGATTACCTCTCGTTTCTCAAGCGTTATATAACAGTCACAGGTTTAGCGCTTTCAAATAATAATAATAATAATAATAATAATTACTAATAAATATATTTAATAACCATTGTTCATCGTAGTAAGATTTACGAGTGTGCCACTACATTCCTGTTGGTCACTGGTGCTAGCATTATTGTTACATTCATGGGAAAGTGCTTAACCCAAATGGATCATGTAACGCTTGGCAATTGGAGGTAATCATGTTGATTCAAGAAAGGGGATGGTAACTCCAATTTCCTTTCGTCAAGAGCCCTTGACGAGCATCAAGGCACCTCCCATGAAGGGACTGGTTGTCAAAATGTATTTGTTACCCAAGTGTTGCGGCGCATCATTCTCCACCACTGTCTAATTGGTTACACCTTATTTGTATTTGTTGGCAGTGTGTTTGTTCTGTGTGATTGTTTTTCTATGTGAGTCATTGTTCTTCTGTATGTGTTGTGTGATTGTTCTTCTTAGACGTAAGTTTGTGATTGTTCTTCTTAGAGGTAAGTTTGTGATTGTTCTTCTTAGAGGTAAGTTTCTTCTGTGTGATTATTCCTTATAGAGGTGAGTGCGTTTGTTCAGTGTTTGTTCTTCTTGGAGGTGAGTATGATTATTCTTCTTGGAGGTGTGTGTTTATTCTTCTTGGAGGTGTGTTTATTCTTGGAGGTGAGTGTGATTTTTTCTTCTTGGAGGTGTGTGTTTATTCTTCTTGGAGGTGTGTTATTCTTGGAGGTGAGTGCGTTTATTCTTCTTGGAGGTGAGTGTGTTTATTCTTCTTGGAGGTGAGTGTGTTTATTCTTCTTGGTGGTGAGTGTGTTTATTCTTGGAAGTGAGTGTGTTTATTCTTCTTGGAGGTGAGTGTGTTTATTCTTCTTGGAGGTGAGTGTGTTTTTTCTTCTTGGTGGTGATTGTTTATTTTGGAAGTTGCGTTTATTCTTCTTGGAGGTGTGTGTTATTCTTCTTGGAGTGAGTGTGATATTTTCTTGGAGGTGTGTGTTTTTTCTTCTTGGAGGTGTGTTTATTTCTTGGAGGTGAGTGCGTTTTTCTTCTTGGAGGTGAGTGTGTTTATTCTTCTTGGGGTGATGTTTATTCTTCTTGGTGGTGATGTGTTATTCTTCTTGGAATGAGTGTGTTTATTCTTCTGGATTTTGTTATTCTTGGAGGTGAGTGCTTTATTCTTCTTGGAGGTGAGTGTGTTTTTCTTCTTGGTGGTGAGTGTGTTATTCTTTTGGTGGTGGTGTGTTTATTCTTGGAAGTGAGTGTGTTTTTTCTTGGAGGTGAGTGCGTTTATTCTTCTTGGAGGTGAGTGTGTTTATTCTTTTGAAGGTGAGTGTTTTTTATTCTTGAAGTGGTGTGTTTATTCTTCTTGGAGGTGAGTGTGTTTATTCTTCTTGGGGTGTGTTTATTCTTCTTGGAGGTGAGTGTGTTTATTCTTGAAGTGAGTGTGTTTATTTTCTTGGTGGCGGTGTGTTTATTCTTCTTGAAGGTGAGTGGTGTTTATTCTTGGAGTGTGAGTGTGTTTTTTTTCTTGGGGTGAGTGTGTTTATTCTTCTTGGAGTGTGTTTATTCTTCTTGGAGGTGAGTGTGTTTATTCTTCTTGGGGTGAGTGTGTTTATTCTTCTTGGAGGGTGTTTATTTTCTTGGAGGTGAGTGTGTTTATTTTCTTGGAGGTGTGTTTTTTTTCTTGGAGGTGGTGTGTTTTTCTTCTTGGAGGTGAGGGGTGTTTATTCTTCTTGGAGGTGAGTGTGTTTATTCTTCTTGGGGTGTGTTTTTATTTTTCTTGGAGGTGAGTGTGTTTTTCTTGGAGGAGTATGTTTATTTTTTTGGTGTGTTTATTCTTCTTGGGGTGAGTGTGTTTTTCTTGGAGGTGAGTGTTTTATTTTTGGGTGTGTTTTTCTTGGAGGTGTGTTTATTCTTCTTGGTGGTTGGTGTGTTTATTCTTCTTGGTGGTGAGTGTGTTTTTCTTGGGTGTGTTGTCTTGGAGGTGTGTTGCTTATTCTTCTTGGAGGTGTGTTTGTTTTCTTGGAGGTGAGTGTGTTTGTGTTATTGTTCTTTTTATATCACGGAGTGTTTCTATGTTTAATTTGTTCTTGTCTTGTATGTGTTTGTCTCATCGTGTTATTGTTAACACTTGTCAATAACACTTTGATGGTTATTGGTGTTAGTTTGTCGCTACCAAGATAGTTGTTATTGTTATTGAAAGCATCTGGGGAATGGAAGTTAACACGGTTTGATCTGAAGAAGGGAATGACAGCTCCAATTCTCCTGGGTCAGGATCCTTTCACTGGCATCAAGGGACCCTTCCTTTAAAGGGTGGAATGGTTGTGTCAGCTGTTGTTTGTCTACTGTAATATACTAGTGTTTGCTGACTCGTATAAATGTGTGTTTGTTTGCTTGGGTGTTTTCTGATGTTCAGGCACATGGAAGCGAAGGTTCATGGGGTGATTCACATTTGTTTGCATCTTTGCTTGTTTAAAAGTATAATGATTGGAACTTAATGGTGTGATACCAACAATAGTGAAGAAAAGACACACCGTGCAGACCAAGCTTTTATTACCACAACATTTCGATCTGGTAAGATCTTACCAGATCGAAACGCTGTCCCAGTGAAAGCTCGTCCTGAAGTGTCTTTTTCTTCAAGTATGATTGGTGTTGAAGTTGAGTGTTTATGTTTTATAAGTGGCTGTCCTCGGAGTGGCCAGTTTGTGCTGTGTGTTTACTTGATCTCATGGTGTGTTGCTTTCTTTGGTCCGGCAAAGATTACCGAGACTGTGTGTGTGTGTTCTAGTAAGGAATGTCTTTGATACTACTGTGGTTAGTGTGTGGTTGTCATGGTGTACGGTTCTCTCAAGGATTGTGTGATTGGTACACTTGACCGTCTTCATGTTGTGGGTGTGCTGGGAGAGGCAGTGACTAGTGGTCTCCGTTACAGTGATTGTACATTTAAAAGAAAAAGACGTGATGCAAACTTTTATTTTTGAAATTTTTGCTCAAAGGACTTGATTTAGCTCGCTCCTGAGCGAAACATCTAAAATAGAGGCTCTACATTACCTGTTTTTATACTCGCTTGTCGTCTTGTTCCTCCAGTCACAATCACCTAGTAAGGTTGAACTAGAGGTGCTAGTGAAACTGGAGGTGGGTGAAACTGGCTGGCCCAGGGTTACACTTACATGGGAGCTGGTCAGTGCACTAAGGTACCCCAGTACGCTCATGTGCACATCACATGTACTGCAGAACAAAAGTTTTCAACGTGAAATATAAAACTTGAATAACTTAGGTAAGAGGAGTTGGAATTGTTTCATTTATACAGGTGTGTGTTACAAGAAGTGTGCGTTGTAAGAGGTGTATGTTATAAGAAGTGTGCGTTGTAATAGGTGTATTCTACAAGAAGTGTGCGTTGTAAAAGGTGTGTGCTACAAGAAGTGTGCGTTCAATACTGTTGGTGTGCCAGCCTGGCTTCCAGTCTGACAGTTAAGTCGGTAACTCTGCAGTTCCCCGCCATTGTTTGACATCTGTGTTAGTAGACACCACCGCCCATAGCGGCCACTTCTTGCCGCGCCCACACCATGTGCCAACGGGGGTGGCACTAAGGCTGGGCACATATACAAGGACCCGGTGGGTGACCCGCTAATTTTTTAAAAAAAGGGTTTGGGGGGTTTGGGGGGGGGAAAAAGGTTTTGGGAGGGGGAAAAAAATTTTTTTGGGGGGGGGGGGGGGTTTGGGGGGGGTTTTGGGGTTGGTTAAAAGGGTTGGAAAAAGGAAAAAAGGGGGGGGAAATTTTTTTTTTTCCGGGGTTTTTTTTGGGGGGGAAAAAAAAAGGGGGGAAAAGGGGGGTTTTTTTTTGGGGGTTTTTTAAAAAAAAGGGGGGGAA